AATTATTAATATAATCACAATTTGCACAAGTCTTGACTGTACATCTACAGTCCCTTTCAAGTCGAGTAGAAAGCAAGGTTAATGATTAAAAAGTTGTTGATTACAATTAAATTATTGTTTAGAGCTGTTACATGTAACTTAACCTATCCTTCCTAATTCCACCATCAGTATGTGCCAATCTGAGGACAGTTACATTTGTTTGATGTGATGATGATGAACAATGATTCTGATTTGGTATCAAAACTACAAATACTTTTTGTTGTCGCAACCTGGTTACTGTTGGAAGAGCGTGCAGTGTGCTTTAGTAGCACGAGCGATACCAATTATCTTGTTTTGAAAGAAAATTCAGGGAACAAAACGTTAAAAGATCATTCGCTTGCCCTCCTTTGTATTATTTTCTCGTAAGATATGTTTGAAGGGTATCGCAACTGCTACATTTTACAGCCTTCGCGCTACCTCTCATTGTTTCAAGGACTGATATATCTCCCCAGGGCCTTTAATACCTCTTACTCCTCTTGCGAGTGTAAGATATCAGTATGCAAATTCTTTAATTTGCTTAAATCTCATTTGCATATCTCTTTCCACGGAATCTGGTGCTATTTTAGTAGCGTAAGAGAGAGATTTGTCCTGTTTAGGGTTTTTTGATGGCAGACAAGCCGGAAGGTTGTGAGTTGAAACGCTTTATGTGGCTAAAAACTCGCGCTCCGTTTCCCTACATAAAGCCAAGCAGCTGAAAACTTTTACTGAATAAATTTTAACTCGACTGGAGTAGTTGTGTACATTTTGAGGTGGATATTATCTCTTTATCACTCACACTTATTACTACTTCAACCGTAGTTGTATTGAAAGTAGAAAGTCTAATTTTAAATTCATCTTAAAAGAATAAACAAACACGTCTGTCCCGAGATAAAAATGTTCAGTCTCTCAGAGTGTCTGAAAGCGAGACTCGAACCTCCGTCTCTCATCGAGTCTCTCTGGTGTCGCTGAAAGAGATTGTCAAAAATACTGTTTAACGTCTCTGAACGAGAGACTCGAGTCGTTCATAGAAAGATCCTCATTTCGTATCCAGTCTGAATGAGAGACGCGAATCTCTCAATAAATGGTCGTTCGATAGACATGGTTAAGATTTTCCAAGTTCAACATATTTCAGAGACTCCAGTCTTTCTGTGAGGGACTCGAATCTCTGAATTACAGAGATTGTGAGAGATCTATAAAAACACCTAGGCAATAACTGAGAGACTGTAAAATACTGTGAAAGACGCTCTCAGAGATTCTGAATGACTCTGAGAGACTGGAAAGAAACTGAAAATTTTTGTCTAGGAATTGGTTCTTTTAGAAAAAAATTATGTCCTTGTTGATTTATTAAGACGGTAATAAAGAGCCCAGAAAAGTCCATTATAGCACCCACTCGTTAAAGATTTATAACAATAAGCCATCAGAAATTACGCAGGTACATATAAAGGACCAATCCTTGTCCAGTCCTTAATTGTTGCAAAATCGGAAAACGTCGACAACAACAAGAAGTAATGACGTTAGGTCCGGCGAAGAAGATCCTACGGCGTCAAATTATCAGACACACACAGCGGAACATTTCCGAAACGATAAAGCTAACAATTTTCTGGGCTCCGCTGGCAAAGTTCGAAAACGATCGTAAGTTGCAATTAGCGACGACGGTCGTATTCACCCACACACACGCGTGCATGTAACTAGGACATAGTAGAAGTCGTAACTGGCGAAGAGAAACATGCTTCGTCGCGACCACATTTTCAGAAATATTATTTATCTTAGGGCTTTGCAACTCCGCCATACTTTGCAATCAGTTCCAGAGAACCGAATTTACGCGTCGCGGATTGTACCGACTGTGGTGTGCCCAGTGCACGTGCTGAAAACCTAATATTGCCTGCCTTACTTTAAGTTTACTCACACTACATAAATATATAGAGGGTTTTAAAAACAAAAGTCTATAAAAAAAAGTGTAGATATGGAACTACAGGAGCGAAAATCATTATAAAGTCTTAGGACTGGTAGGACATGCACCTTAACTCTTTCCTATGCCGAGCTAATAATCGCATTTCTCTAAAACTAGAACAATAACCCACATCCTTAACAATTTGCGAACAGTAATCTAATCTAGGTCTACCTCTACCCCTCCTAACTTCCGTTTCTGCCTCTAATATGTCTCTGACTAGTAGTGTCCGACCGAAAGTTCGGTTTCGGTTTCGGTCGAGTTTCGGCAAAAAAACGAGTTTCGGTTTAGTCTCGGTTTCGGCGGCAAACCTGCCTGTTCGGCGCGTTAAATTAGTAGTTTACTCTTTGTTTCTGTTGAAGTTTAGTGTCATTCAACATGACGAATTAAGTTTAGAAGAAGTTAATTTGTTCTTAATTAAGATAAAAGTGATTTATTTTGTTTTGTTTATTACTTAAATATTAAGTTCCTATACCTATTGTGATATTAGGTAACAATAACAAAAGTAATTTTATGTTTAATATTATATAAAAAAAGCATGAATAATTTTCAAAAGAAAAATAGTCTACTATACTTACTCAAATAAACATCTCACCTATTTTAAGTATTTTTAAGGCGCAATTAAAGTATTTCCTTAAATGAGGGGTTGTTATGTTGATTTTGATTTGATTATCAATAAGTGAAAATGTCAAAGACTGCAGAGCTATGTGATTTAAAGATAAAAAAATAAAACTGACTGATTATAATAACGTTTTCTTTATTTTTCTCTCAAAACATGATCCTTATAAGGAAGTTTCGGTTTCGGTTTCGGTTTCGGCCGAAACTGAGACCGTTGCCGAAATTCAGTTTCGGTTTCGGTTTCGGTCGTAAAAACCAGTTTCGGTCGGACACTACTGACTAGACCTTCATGTCTGAAAAGGTGTCCTACCAACCTATCTCGCCTATTTCTTATTGAGACCTCTATTCTCCATATCTTTCTAATACCTTTTCATTTCTAACCTTCTCTATCTACGGTATCCTCATCATTCGCCTGTAACACCACATTTCGAACGCTTCTAGCCTTTTCCTTTCCGCCGCGCCCACTGTCCATGCTTCGCACCCATACAGTGCCGCGCTCCAAACATACATCTTTAACAACCTTTTTCGAATTTCTGCCTTTACAACTTGTAACTACACTATTAGATTTTCTGAACAGTTATCGTACTACTTAACGATTGATTATGTTTGAAGATTTATAGCTAAATTTATGTCAAATATTCATACGTTTTCGGGAATCTCAACATCTCTAGGTCATGAATAGTAAGTGTACAGGTTGACAACAATAGGAAGAAGTTTCAGTTAGCAACGTTTATGCGCGGAAATAAGACAAAGAAAGTATTCGGAGAAAGAAGGACTCCCAAGAATAAGGAAGATTTCTTGCAGCTCGTAGTGAAACAATGGAAAAACACATGTGGATTTAAAAAAGCAAACCGTAATAGCAACAATAACAACAGTAAAACCGATAACAAAAGCAAAAACGATAAAAACACAAATAACAAGAACCAACATGAGTGATTGTGATCTGTCCGAATGTTATCTCACCAAACGGTCGAACAAAAATGCCTTAGCTCGCTTCAAAGAGCATTCAGTTTACTGCGCATGAATAGGCGGAAACAATTCACACTTCTTCCTATTTGTATCGACCTGTACATATGGTGATTGATTGATTTCAAGAATTGTTTTAAGATTCTTTGATAGGTGTCCATTCTTGTGTGCAACTTTAAAATTGTTCTGAGAAACTCATTTCCGTTTAATAGGTTACGGGTCGGCATATAATTAGGTTTTAATTCGGCAGTAGTCGAAGACCAATATATTTAAGGAGCGGCTTTAGAACAGCAGAAACGTCCCGAGACCGGAATTTATCGTGGCAGGTTAATATATTCGCGCCGGTGCGTTTCCGAAGAAGGAGCACTCGCAACTACCTGCACCAGCTTTAACGGATATTTACGCCTTGTGGAATACTTTATTCGTCCTTCGGGACAATGGAAATTTATGTTAACTGAAAATATCCGGGCAATTATTACTTTTCTCGACCCCCAGAAAAGCAGTCTCCAGTTTAACGAGGTTATTTAGACACCACCAAGTTATAACGCATCAGCTTGCTCTTGCTAATCAAAAAATATATATACAAGCCGCGTTCTCTAATATGTCATTCGGTGGTTCAATAAACATGCAATACAATTATCTACTGATTTTCAAACTCGTTAAGGGATTTCTATAACCAAACATGTGATAATAGGAAAAAGCCGGTAGTAAAAACTTATAAATTATGTAAAGTGGAGAAAATCGCTCCTTTTTCTTCCTTTTTATCTTCTACATAAGTTTTGCTGTGGTGTTATACCTAGATGAATGACGAAGATAAGTCGATAGAAACAAAAAAAGTTAAATTATGGCGGCCTGCGAAAAACGCCGCCATTTTACAAGATCAAGAAAATGACCGTAGTGTACATAATATCTTTAAAGTTTGATACAGCGACTGTAAATTGGTCATGAGATTCTTGAGATAAAAATGTTCAGTCTCTCAGAGTTTCTAAAAGCGAGACTCGAGTCTCCATCTCTCATCGAGTCTCGCTGGTGTCGCTGTGAGAGACTGTCAAAAAAACTGTTTAGAGTCTCTGAACGAGAGACTCAAGTCGCTCATAGAGAGATCCTCATTTCGTATCCAGTCTCTGAACGAGAGAGAATAAGTGGTGTCTCGATAGACATCGTTAAAATTTTATAATTTCAACATATTTTAGAGATCCCAGTTTTTCTACGACAGACCCGAGTATCTCAATTTTTCAATTTCATTCATTCAATCTCTCTGTGAGAGACTCGAATCTCTGAATTAACAATTTTATCTTTCGAGTCTCTCATTCAGAGACTGTGAGAGATCAATAAAAAACCTAAGTAATAACTGAGAGACTGTGAGAGACACTGAAAGACTGGAGAGAGACTGAAAATTTTCGTGTAGGATTTTGAACTACCTCTAACGAATGTTTTTTTTGTTTTACAGGTGGCATGGGTCCGCGTGGACACCCAAACTATTTTGTCAATCCACCATAACAAGATAACTCAAAATCCACGAATATCTCTCAGTTACAACGACCACAGAACGTGGTACTTACACATCCAGAATGTTCAAGAATCCGATAGAGGGTGGTACATGTGTCAAGTCAATACCGACCCTATGCGAAGTAGACAAGGATATCTACAAGTTGTTGGTAAGTTGAAGGACTTTTAATGTTACAGTACAATAATGTTCTTGGCGATTTCCTGCCACTTATTACCGTCTTCACTTATTTAGGATTATGTTTTATAATTTTGAGTCTTACCAATAAAAATAAAGTTCAATTACATATTATATTTTATATCTTAGGTACAAAATGCTTGAAGTTGCGTGATGTGGCTGGCAAAGGTCACGAATATTTTTTACTGTTTCGTTTTAACCGACTCAAATGTTCTTGCCCTTTTTATTTATAAAAAAAATATTTTACCTATGTACGCCTCAGGACTTTTTGCCCAGTAATGTGTAGGTTGGTACCTACTGAAAACGTCCATACTGCAACGAACAAATTACCATGCATCCACTCCGTTTAGTTCGTCCACTCATTTTCCTACTAGAAGTCGTATAATTATCCCGAAATGAAAGAAAAACTTTCATTAAAAAATTTATATCCCAAAGCTGTAGCATGCTTCCTGGTTACGGACGTTTAACGAATATAAAAGAGAGTTAAATCCCCTGACCTACTTGTTGAAAGGTTTAAACGTTAAAGCTCGAAAAAAAAAATTTACTGAATTTAGTTATACACACGTGGACATTTGAACGTTTTCTACCTACGGATTTGCTTTTTTTTTCAGTTAATACTTCAACCCATTTTCTAGTCCTCTAGTTTCTACATGGGTTGCGTTTTCTCTAAGAATAAAACTAACAAAAAAATCCAAAAATAAAAAATTGTTGGTAACTGAAACGCTATTTGCGTAAATTATGAAGATTTTAGTTTCTTATTAGGCCAAAAGTATTCTAAACCAAAGTAAATGTAAAAATGTGTAAATATTCTTCCTTGAGACTGAAATTGTCAGGTCAGGGTTCATTATTAATGGTGTAGTTGTAAAATATATCATATGTATCCGAAAAATCATGGATGTAATAAGGTTGCGATCGAGTAATACTCTCTAGACCTCCCCAAATGTCGCTAGGGTTATGTCAAAGGTGATAGGATATTTGCTTTTTGTTAAGAGTGCAGTCCGAACGTTGTAGGAAAGAATCCCAACAACAGAAAGGTTCGTTTAGAATTTATAATGCCGCATATTTGACAGCTTTATGTTCACAACAGTACGAGATTGTCCAGGTCCCACTTAATGATTTTAGTCAAATTCCAGTCATACCCCTATTGCCACGATGAACTTTTAATGTTTTTGAGTTATCTGCACTTATAAACCTATGTATTTTTCATTTGATACCAAGATACAGGAAGTTTCCCTTGCAAACTATTTCGAGAAAGTGGAAATTTCGTAAGCAATCCAACAAATAGTGGCAAAAGCACTGGAAATTCTTCCATCAGATTCCATGTATATTTTCAGTAATAACACAACATTTATGCAGTTCCTGTGCTGTTTTTAATTTGACTCGTATAGTTAATGACTATTAAATTTGACATCACATATGTAGAATATAGAACTATTGTGTATATGATTCAAAATCACTAATCATTCTTATTGGAATTAACAATCTCACGATGGTTACTGGTTACTTTGGATAACGATCGTTATACATATATATACTATTTATCAAGCAATTTGCGCAATTCGGTACATTCATACGTATATATGATAGAAAGAAAACTTAATCGTTATTCGGTTCGTGTTGTACTAGATGCGAAAATTACGAATTGGACTTCCCGTTCGGTTAGAGGTATTGAACCATGAATTGAGTAACTGCCGTCTCGTCTGTTCGAATCGAAGTTGGCAGTGGTCGTGCGAATCATTGTCCGCTACGTGCACGAAATCAAAGCTTTGGAGTTTATCAATCCATGACGCACTTTACTACTGAACTACATCATTATTTGACGTGTCAACGTGGTGTGTGGATTTTTGTAGTGGCGGTCCTTCAACGATCGCTACGACCTTATGGCATGCATCAAAGGATTCTCTCCCTCGTCCCTACACCCTCCTTCTTCCTATTTTTGCATCCTCTGTATTCAGTTATCCGTTCACGTTGAACAACTGAACAATTTTGTTAGATACTATTTCTTAGTTAACGTAATACAACCAAGTGCTACACAACAACAATCAACGTACAAATACTGGGGATCAGGGGAAGGGAATATCGGAGGCTCAGGTTGAAAATCTTTCACCCGATGTTAGATCAAGTCTTTATGTTCTGAGTGAGTGTATCTCAATCCCTCGCCTATAGGTCCCGTGATTTTTAAACCGCAAGGTAGGAATTACCACTTTAAACATAAAAAAGNCACGTTGAACAACTGAACAATTTTGTTAGATACTATTTCTTAGTTAACGTAATACAACCAAGTGCTACACAACAACAATCAACGTACAAATACTGATTAAAAAATACCCCGAATCGTAATTTATTAATCGATCCTTTTTCGATTTTTTTTTGGACTTAACATTTAGACCATCACTTATTTCATTTAGCAATTCCTATGCGACGTTCGGACGACTTCAAATTCAAATTTCAATAACAATTTGGCAAGAAATAATGCTGCCACAAGTTTCACGCCCACGAAATACGAAAAAATAATTATGGTAATTGTCCTTGGCAATAGTATCCCAGGCTGCCGACACCCTACAGTCAAAGCGCCAGGTGTTTAACGTCTCAGCAGCCCCTTGAGGTGACGGACCAGGTAGTTAGTATCGAATCTTATTGTCCAAAGCGGTCCCTGCGGGGAGATCACATGACGCCCTCCCGTAAAACTAAGGTCATTCGCAACTAATCCTACTAAATGTGGGAAATGACCGAAGCCTTAGTAAGGATCAGGGGAAGGGAATATCGGAGGCTCAGGTTGAAAATCTTTCACCCGATGTTAGATCAAGTCTTTATGTTCTGAGTGAGTGTATCTCAATCCCTCGCCTATAGGTCCCGTGATTTTTAAACCGCAAGGTAGGAATTACCACTTTAAACATAAAAAAGGGACAACCCCTCAGGTATTTGGTAGATAATCAATGGTGAATAAAGTGTTTCCATTTGACCTTTACATACACCAGAATTAAAGTACATAATGGGAAGGTCTTATTTTCCTACAGGTGTTCTTCTATAAACTACATATATATATATAAGCCCTTTTCTTAAAGAAAACGTTAAATAATTCGACTTCCGAAAACTAAATGTTCAAGCAGAAATTCTTGATCATTTTTCCCACACCGATGCCGATATAAATATTTAGCAGTGTTTGCAGTTTAAAAATTTCATTAACAAAACGGCTGATAGCAATTTGTAATATTAACCGTTACGAAATCATGGAAATCTATTACATATATTAATTAGCAGATTCCAAATGAGTTAACTTAAAATCATAATCATGCAAATTTAATAACTTCCAAAGGTCTTCNATCATTTTTCCCACACCGATGCCGATATAAATATTTAGCAGTGTTTGCAGTTTAAAAATTTCATTAACAAAACGTCTGATACCAATTTGTAATATTAACCGTTACGAAATCATGGAAATCTATTACATATATTAATTAGCAGATTCCAAATGAGTTAACTTAAAATCATAATCATGCAAATTTAATAACTTCCAAAGGTCTTCCGCGAAGCTTTTTGAAGCGTATAGATAATAATAATTATAATAATGATGCACTTTTGTCCCATTTCATCATTGTAAACACACCGTGTTCGTATCATTCCAGATAATGTGACTATTCATTATGTCCAGTAACACCAAATAATGTATTCCACTGTCAAATAAAATAATAGCCTGTCGCTGTTCCAAATGCGGTTTTATTTCCTGTGAAAAGCTGTGTCACATCTAAAAGCTGGAAATATCACCTATTACAAATTCGCTCTACGCATTTGATATACCTAATTTAGCAACATTGCCAGATTGCGTGTGAATCAACTAACTGGTCAACTACATACGGGTCGTACTTTATCTTTTGTACAGTAAAGAGACCAGAAATAGGAGCAGAAACTTAATCCAACTACCATGAATAGAAAATGCAAAAGTCGCTGCGGATAAACGACTGCGCATCAACTTCGGTGGGCGTGTCAAATCACATGCGCACTGCTTTGCCGCGCAGAGACTTTAACTCATATTCTCCTACTAACGACTGCGATTTTTGCGACGCTCTGTATGTCACGCGTCCCTGTATAGTTTAATTGAATGCTCTGTTACATAACTTCTTAAATTGGTTTGTACAGAGATACACACTCTGTCGATGACGTAGACGCAATCTGTTAATAATTTTACGGTAGGTTGATTGTCAACGATGAATAATTTAGATCATCTTTTCAGTGCCACCGAAAATTATCGATAGGGAAACTAGTGGCGATATGGTCGTTTTAGAATCAACGAATGTCAGTCTTACATGCAAAGCGACCGGATCCCCTGAGCCGTATATAATGTGGAGGAGGGAAGATGGTGAAGACATTAGATATAACGGAGAGAATGGTACGATGAATCATTTCTTTTTCTTTTTCATTTCAGGGAGGATAATAAGATCGAACATTTCATCGAGCAATTTAACGAATTTCGTAGGAGGGGGAGAGTTGAAAATTTTATTTGTTTGGTTTTTATTTGTAAAAGAATAGGGAGTGTGTACTTATGTACAGTTCGTATCATATTTGCGGACTTACCAGAATTCTCTGAAAGGAGAAAGCCAGTTTTTATAACGCAGAAGTCTGACGTGGCTGCTATTCGCAAGCAGTGGCGTCCACACGTCGTTCAGGTCACGGTATGCACACTTATCCTAACTGCAGACGAACGCCCTGTATAGCTACTGTCTATCTCTGTTCTAACTAGGATTCTTTCCACAATAGCGACATATTTGTGCAGGTGTAGCACGTTTTCCGTTACAGTTGACAGTTATGGTTGACAGCTGCGCGCGCAATTTCCGTTGCATGTCGAAAAGTAACGATTTTGGGAACCATCCCCTTCTACTTCTACATGTATTTTTCCATTTTAGACCAAAATTAAAAAATTGGTCTGAGCACGCTTTGGTCGGTGCTAATACGACTAACTTCCCATTAGATAATACAGTTATTANTTCTTTCCACAATAGCGACATATTTGTGCAGGTGTAGCACGTTTTCCGTTACAGTTGACAGTTATGGTTGACAGCTGCGCGCGCAATTTCCGTTGCATGTCGAAAAGTAACGATTTTGGGAACCATCCCCTTCTACTTCTACATGTATTTTTCCATTTTAGACCAAAATTAAAAAAAAATTGTTTGAAAGATTTATAATGAACACACGCTTGTTAATTTGAAGTAACAACTGATGATTGTTCTAATGACGAGTGAGTTGAATAAAGATATTTTCCAGTGAACGTTGTCGACGGCGAAGTGCTCTTCATAACAAAAGTGAGCCGTCTGCACATGGGAGTGTACTTATGCATAGCGTCGAACGGTATTCCACCTTCGATCAGCAAGAGGGTGACTCTCAAAGTGCAGTGTAAGTTGCGAACTAAATTAAACTTGATTTTAATCGAATTTAATCGTGTGCAACTTCAGTTCCGCCGATGCTGTCGATACCGAACCAGCTGGAGGGAGCGTATTTGGGACAGGACGTCTCCCTCGAGTGTCACACCGAAGCCTTTCCCACATCCATAAATTACTGGACAACCGAGCGAGGCGACATGATTATTTCAGGTAGATTGAAGGGCCTTACCCTTTTCATCCTGTTTCCGGAGAATAAACTTTTCTGCCAAAGATTATTTTACCTATGGCGGACAGCCGACTCGAACCTTTCAATTTCGGGAAATGTAACTCGCATAGAACTTTCCCCCTTTCACAAGTTTATTTCTTCATTTGCTCTGATGTATAGCCAAATAATTCGACGAACGTTTCTACGGAACCGCGAGTGACCCTAACGACTCTCATTTTGGTACTTACAAAGTTAAAATCAAGTCATTCTAAAGAATTTTGTCTATTATCGGGTAACACAGATTTCATTAATAATATCGGAAAAGGGGTCTACCTATATGTGACCAACTTTTTGCCCACAACATGACCCACAACATAAGTTTCATCGTTGGGTAGTTTGAACTTGAATTAGTTGAATCATATACAATATTTATGACGTTTTATACAGATGTTATAATAACTCTTAACTGGTAATTTTCATAATGAAACCAAGTTCGTTCATTATAGACAATTTTTTGTAGATAATAATGTATATAGTACTGTAAACCGCATTAAAATCCATCCAGTGGTTTAGAAGACAACACCCAGACAGACAAACACCTTTGAAAGTTATATGTAGACTTTGGTCCTTCGAGCCGGATTAAATAAACATGAATTTGTTTTGATATGTTTCCGATACGAAGCCTAACATTTACGTTAAATTTAAAAGTGTGCTGGTCAACTTTGAAGAATTTACAGAAATATATTGTCATGCTTTTCGTTCAGGAGTTGGAACAAGAAGAGTTAAATCAAACTTGAAAAAATCAAACTTTCTCATTTTTAGAATTTACGTTAAGCGACTTTCTTTTGGTTTTTAATTAAAATAAAGTAGTACCACGACAAGGTAACCCAAACTAACGGAATCTATTAATAATTTCCCTTTTGTACGTCCCTGGCTCGGAAACTTTGAAACTTTTTAGCAGGATATTTGCATTAATCAAATAGAACTTAGTCGGTTTTGGACGCTCCGGGCACTCTTTGGGGAAACGGATTTTCTCTAAAAAATAAAACTTTTTCCGCCAAACATCAAACAGAATTTAGCAAGATATTTTTCTACAAAATTCGCCCGAGACGATCAATTTGAGAATCTGTTTTTGTTCCTTAAAAAGCTAACAAACACATTTCCATAAGAAATGAGTTCAGTATGGGACACCAATGAAAAGTGGAAAGTTTGTTATTAGTGATTTTGGAAATTAGATCTTGACACACTCAAAAACGAAATACTCAAAATCATCTTTGCAAAAAGAAAGTTTTAAAAATCTAACCTCCCCCTTTGCCCTTGTGACCAAGCGTGGTATTTTTGGAGGCCTTCCTCCCATCCCCTTACATACATGGTATAGAAGCTGGTAAATTTTGGTGAAATATAATGAAATAAATAATAAAATTAGTTGAGACAGCTTCACATGTCGTTATTTTAATCTGAACGGTTCAATTTTCATAAATATATTAAGAATATCAGTGAACTTGAGAACACAAATTTTTAAAAAAAACTAGCTACGAGCCTGGCTATTTGAACTATTAATTTGATTACATCTTTACTGTTAACGTTCATCTAGCCACTTTTCCTTATTAAATTAGGTGACTTGAGTAATCGTACTTTTAATTAAAATTAATTAAAAGAAACTTAATTAATACATCGCAATCCATATGGTCCCAGCAATAAGCAGGTACACAAAGTAAAATTCATGTTTAGTTGAAAAACAAAAAAAGGAATAAAAATCTGATTACTTTTAGCTTATGCCATGTTTTTGAACAATTAAACTTGCTTTCGAAAACGTTCGTGTTTAGGTTTATAACAACACAAAACAGTAAAATTTTTGTAACACTCTTGCACCGCAGTTTTCAATTAAAACTTTCCGCGGCAAAACCACTTGGCTTCGTTTACAATTGAAATCGTACAAGTGGCAAATAAAAATGAAATAATTTGTAATATTGACGGTCTACTTTATTGAACAGGGACAAAAATAAATATAGAGAAAGATGGAGAGAGAAATTCATTACTTTTACCAGAACGCGGAGTTCTAACTAAATTAAATAATTCAAAGGACATTTCTTCCTCTCTCTCTCTCTCTCTCTCTCTCTTTGCATCGTGAAATAGTGAAACTTTCCCAAAAGGGCCGCAACGTTTAAAGAGTGCATAACTCAATAGAGTTATGACATAGCAAAAGGGCAATTTGAGTACACTCTCAGGCAATGAATATTTTTAATTACTTACGTAGTCGAGTCTGGGGTGGTGTAAATTGGATTTTTTTTATTTACTGCGCTACTAAACGAAATGGCATAAAGGAAATTCAGAAGCGTTACCAG